TGCAACCCTGCCTGGACATTACCATGGCCCCAGGTAGCAAGTAGGCCACCCACACCACCTTTGAGTCTTCAGTTCTGCTTCCTTCCACAGCACATGAAGCAGTCTCTTTCTTTTTCTCTTCCATTTCTCCATCACGTATTTACTCCTCATAATGGTACCTACCCATCCAGGAGGCAAGATGCCATAGCAGCCTGTGGATGTCTTCAGCCAGCCTGGGCCATGAGGACCCAGGTGGGCCTGTGGGTGTCTTCAGCCAGCCCAGGCCATGAGGACCCAGGCAGGCCTGTCAAACTATTTTTTTTTTAATTAAAATTTTTCCATATAGTATATTTGACCATATTTCTTTCCCCTCACCAACTCCTCCTAGATCTTCCTCATCACCTTCCCCACCCAAATTGCTATAACCTTCACACCACTCTCTCAAAACATAAAAAAAATCAAAACAAACAACCACATGCACACACACACACACACACACACACACACACACAAAAAAAAAATAATCCTAGCTTTTGCAGCTGATATTCTTTTTTTTTTTTTAACTTATTTGTTTATTATGTATACAGTGTTCTGCCTGCATATATCCCTTCAGGCCAGAAGAGGGAGCCAGATCTCATTACAGATGGCTGTGAGCCACCATGTGGTTGCTGGGAATTGAACTCAGGACCTCTGAAAGAACAACCAGTGCTCTGAAAGAACAACCAGTGCTCTTAACCTCTGAGCCATCTCTCCAGCCCCCTGCAGCTGATATTCTTGTAGGTGTTTTGAGAGTTGGTTTCATGTTCTTTGGTTTTATACTCTGCATCTTCTAAGAATCTCTCACAGCTTCTAGTGTACCAAAGAATCACCTATGTCTTCTAGTTCAATTATTAGAATATAGTACAAAACATGTTTCCAAGAAAACATAGTAGACATGGTAGAACAGTAATCAGACTTCAATTACTGCCCTCAAAATATGGGGAAAATATAGTGTGCTTATGTATACACATTTGCATGTGAAATAATCTAGTACTGGAAATGGATATTAAAAACAAGACTGTTAAAATAATAAATTGAATATGTATTCCACAGAACAAATGTCCTTAGCAGAAGAACAGTTAGTGAGTGAGCATGAGATTCAAGTGAAAGTCTTATCAGAATGAGCAGAAATGAAGACACTATATTGAGTGTAAAAACAAGAGAAGAGATAGAGCTGAAAGGGTCCAAGCCAAAGAAGTTTGAAGAGCTAACTTTCAAAGAACAAACACCAGTACTCATCGTATTATTCTATAAAACAGAAAAAGAAGGAAAACTTCCAAATTCTCTTTATGAAACTGTGATTGCCCTGATAGCAATATCAGACAAAGTTTCAACGAAAACAAAGAACATTATTGGCCAGCCTCTCTAATGTACAAAAAAAATGCAAAAATTCTCATTAAAATATTTGTAAATTGAATTCAAGAACACATCAAAAAAAAAGGTTATCCACTGTCATTAAATTATCTTCATCCCAGAGATGACTCAACTTATATAAATCAATAAATGCTTTCTCCTACATAAACATTCTAAAAGAAGCCACACAATAATCTTATTTGATACAAAGTCCAACATCCTTTGGCAAAATCCAACATTCCTCAAGATAAAAGTCCCAAAGAATCTAGGGATACAGGAAGCAAATCTCAGCATAATAAAGGCAGCATACAAAAATGCCCATGGCCAGCCTCATGATAAATGAAAGAGAAAAAATGACCTCAAAGCATTTCCACTGAAATCAGTAACAAGACAAGACAAGATATTCTCTCCTTTCCTGCTCAATATAGTGCTTGAAATCTTAGCTACAGCATTCAGTCAACTGAGAGAGATAAAAAGAAGACAAATAGGAAGGAGGTCAAATGCAGAAGATGTTTCTATACATGAAAATCCCTAAAGACTTCACCAGAAAACCCCTACAGTTGATAAATCTATTTAGTAAAGGAGTGGGATACAAAATTAACACACAAAAGCAGTAGCCCTCCTATATACAAATGGCAAACACACCAAGAAAGACATCAGGGAAACAATACACAATGGCCTCAAAAAATAGCTTGAATTAAATCTAACCAAGGAAGTGAGAGATTTATAAAATGAAAACTCTGAGACACTGAAAAAAGGACATTGAAGAAGATATCAGAGAATGATAAGACCTCCTGTGTTCATGGATTGGTAGGGTTAATATTTTGAAAATGGCCTTCCTGCCAGAAGCAATAACTAAAATTCCTATTCAGTTCTTCACAGAAACTGTAACAGTAATCTTAAATTTCATTTAGAAACACACAAAAAATAGGATAGCAAAAAAAATCCTGAATAATAAAAGAATGGTGAGAGGTATCATCGTCACTGATTTCAAATTATACTATAGAGCTACAGTAATAAAAACAGCATAATACTGACATAGAAAGCCATGTTGATCAATGGAATAGAATTGAGGGCCTGGAAATAAGCCAACACTCCTCCAGCCACCTGAGATTTGAAAAAGAGGCCAAAGCACACATTAGAGAAAAGACAGCATCTTTAACAAATAGCACCAGTCAAACTGGACAGCTACCTCAGAACAATGAAACTAGAGCTTTATCTTTCCCTCTGCACAAACCTCAACTCCAAGGACCTTACATGGGACCTGATACCTTGAATCTGATAGAAGAGAAAACAATTAATATGTTTGAACCGACAGGCACAAGAAAGGACTCTCTGAACAGAACCCTGGTATCACAGGCTTTAAGACAGACAGTTGACAAGTGGGACCACATGAAGCTGAAATGTTCTGTACAGTTAATGACATCATTGTTTGAGTAAAGAGGCAGCATACAAGCTAGGAAAAAAGCTTTAGTAGCTACACATCTGATAGAGGGTTAGTTTCTGGAATATATAAAGAATAAAAAAAAAGAATACAAACAACTCAATTAGAAAATGGGTCATCGATCTAAACAGAGAGTTCTAAAAAGATGGAATACAAATGGCTGAGAAATGTTGTTCTAAATGTTCAACCATTAGAGAAAATGCAAATTAAGACTATTTCAAGATTTCATCTTTCTCCCAGTCATAATGACCAAAATAAAAGAGACAATTGATAACAGATGCTGATGTAGATGTGGGGGAAAAGGAACACTTACTCACTGATGGTGGGATTGCAAACTGATACAAACCACTGTGGAAATAAGCGTGGAGTTTTCTCCAAAAGCTGAAAGTAGATCTAGCACATGATCCAGCTAGCTACACCACTCTTTAGCATATACCCAATGGACTCTTCATGTTACTACTGATAATTGTTCATCCATGTTCACTGCTGCTCTATTCACAATAGTCAAGAAATGGAAACACCCTAAATGCTCATCACTGATGAATGGATAATGAAAATGTGGTACACTTATGCAATAAAAAATTTCCCAGCTGTTAAGAAAAATGAAATTATGAATTACACAGTTAGACAGACCTAGAAACAATTGTTTTGAATGAGGCCACACAGATTCAGCAAAATTTTTTTCTCATTTCTTGGTGTAAGCTTTTAATTTTCAGATATGTATGCTTCATTTGAGATACCCACAGAGGTCAGGGATTTAGTAAGGAGCCATGGAGGGAAGCCTTTCAAGAGAGGGGAAATAGAGCACAGTGGTATAGAGAAAAACTGAACTGCCATTGAATCTCCACATGTTAAGTTTAGGTAGAATATTCCGAACTGTAACATCCAAAGAGAGTTGTCACTGGGAAGAACTGCCTGAGGAAGATCTGGCACATGACACAGACACACATTGAACACACTTTGCTTCAGAACCATGGGTAAATCTTACCTGTTAAATGCATTGTAAAGAAAATGGTTATGGAGACTTACACCAAAGTTTCAGAAAAATGACTGAAGCCAAAACATTGTTTGACAGGGTCACAATCCCTACAAGAAGGCCCTGAAAGTTCATCGACTGAAGCTGTGAAGGGGAAGCCTCAACTGCAATGGAGACCCTAGGAAGTTTGGAGATGCCAGGATTGTGGATTCCACTAAGAAAAGATGAAGACGTGAAGTAGAGCCAGGCCAAGAGAGAGGCTGGGCGCAGAGCTGAAAGCACCGCTGTCCAAATGATTCCACTGAAGTCCAGAGCTTGGGAAGAAGGGACCGGGATTTGTTGCTTTGATACTGAGTTTCAGTCTTGCTTTGGTCTGATCTTTCCTTGTCATGTCCCCATGCCTCCTTTTTGTAATGAGAATATTTATTCTGTGCCATTGGTATAAACAGGTAGCTTTTTTTTATTGACTTTTCATGGGTTTATAGCTAAGAGAATACCTTGAATCTCAGAAGGGACTTTGGACTATGGACTTTGAAGTGGTGTTGGAACTGTTAAGACTTTTAGGACTCTGACATAGGAACTGAGCATATTTGCACTAGAAAATAACCATGAGTTTTAGAGGATCAAGGGTGCAATGGTATGGTTTAAAAGTTTTATTTTGGGTGTCAAGTTGACAAGGAGTGGAACCGTGATTGTTAATCTTTATTTTCAACTTGACCAGATAGGAATCACCTAGGACACACCCCTCCAGGCATATCTGTAAAGGTGTTTGCAGTGACGCTTAATTGAAGGAAGGCACACCTGAGTGCTGGCAATACCATCACATCAGCTCTAGTCCCAGACTAAATGAAAAGGAGAGGAGGAAGCCAGATGACCACCACCAACGCACCTCCTTGCTTCCTGATTGTGGTTGCTATGTGACCATTTGCATCATGCCCCTGCTGCCACAGATAAGGCCACTCTCACTATTATACCTTCCTTTCCATGTACCTGAAAGCTATGAGTCCAATTTAACCCTTCATCCCTTAAATTGCTTTAGGTATTTTGATCAAAGGAATGCTCTAAGTAACTAATATAGTTATCATACAAATAGTGGGTTTCACTGCGACATTTTTACATCTATTCCATTATTTTCTCTTGTGCCCCTCATTTCTCCTCTTAGACCTCCTCTTCCCATCTCATGGTCCACTTTACACTTTCATGTCCTACACATACACAGAACACCTCATGAGTTTGCATGCCATCATTGCACAGGAGCCGTGCTAATCTCTGTGTCATCCCAGCTTTTTATATATGTGTTGCCAAGATGATAACACCATGGGCCTTTTCAACAGCAATTGAATGGGTATGAATTCTATTCCTACTCAAGCTATCAATCAAAAGTGTATGAGTATTGACTTAAATACCTGCAGAGTATCAAAAGTTCATGTACTCTTTCTCAGATAAATCTCACAAAATGAAGGAAAGATAAGGGGTTTGGAAAACATGAGATCTGATACAGATGTGTGAAAATCTATGACTATAGTTGAAATTATAAGGATGTCCACAGGACTAGAGGAAAACTGGTCATATGGAGCTGGAAAGCAGGAAGTCTTGTGGGGCTATCTCAGAACAAAGAGATGAACAAGAGTGTTCTGTTATATGGAAAGTTGAATTGAAAGGTTGTTTATTGAGCAGTTGGGGTGTATGAGGAAAAAAAGCCATAAGATAAAAGTATATTAAACAAACAATATAAATAATTCCAAGAATGCCAGAAGTCGCTCAGGAAAGGAAATGTGCATGCTGAAATACATCACCAGATTCTGAAACCACACCTACTGTAGCAGGGAGAATTTTCACAGTATTAATAATAATATGAAATAAATATTTCACTAAAAGCTGTGGTACATATATAAAGAGTAAAAAGAGTGAATAATGGGGACACTTACAAATGTTAAAATCTTCATTTGTTGCAATATAGACTTCGCATAAATGTGGTTAAGCAGGTGTCTCCATAGATATGTGAGGTGAATAGGAACAAAAGAAAAGCTTTTGCCTTTCTTAGGATGGAGGAGGAGGAGGAGGAGGAGGATTGGAGACAGGGAGATGACTGCTGCCTTTTGTCATAAGCCTTTTTAGCACTATTGAGAAATATATTTAATGTCAAGTAACATTCTAATAAATAATGCTGCTATATTATATAAAATTTAAATTTGAGGTCATGAATATATTTTGAACTTTTTAATATTGTAATTCAGTCTCATTTACAATTTGCAAAATATCTATAATTTCATAAAAAAATATTAGCACTCTAGTGTCACATGTTGCCAGCCATCCTTTATTACTAGGTATGTTATTTACACCACAGAAACTTCATTGTGACTGTAGCTTATATTCTTTTTAGTTAAACATTTTACAATCAAAGATTTTTATATCTTTAAACATTTCCTATAAACGTGTTTGATGACATGACATAACTATAATCATAAGTATCCATTGATCATTCCTGGTATTTTATTATCTTTGCCTAGGAATAATTCCTGGAAGTAAAGTTGCTAGCCCAGATGGTGAAGATATTTTTGAGACATTTGGTACACGTTATAAAATCACAGGCAGATTCTTCCAGCTCATACCCCACTGGCAACGTATAAGATGACTCATTTCAACACCACCCTGCCGCCACTGTTTCTCATCTGAAAAAAAAAATTGTAAGTAAAATGGGGAGATTTTATCCAAGACCTTGAAGTTTGGTGTGGTTTTTGTTGTTGTTTTAAAAATTGTTGACAGGAAGAAGATGCACTCCCAAGAAAAGCTCTGTAAAACACAGAAGATGATAAACTTTCCCCCAGTGAACCCACAGTGGCCCTTGTGGCTATCTGTGTCCTGAACTGACACCTGACAAAGTCTTTCAAAGAAAGAAACATCAAAAGAACAACACAGAACTACATAAATCTACATAGAACTCCACAGAACGCCATAGAACGATATCATGCCTTTCAGCCTTAAAGTCTCACACTATTTAAAAGTCTGGAGTATACTAACCAAGACCCTTTGCCCATAACTCCTCACCTAGGGTACTAGGAGACTTGCTAGGGAGTCTGCCTAGGGTACTACAAGACCACAGTCAAGAGAAGGTACATACAAGGTTTCCAGGATAGCTTAGGAAAAGACTGGGGGATGGTAAAGGAAGACTTGGTCTATGCCACTCACAAAGACAGAAGTTGGACTCATGAGAAGTTGCAGGCAAGAAAATTTCAGTTCAAATGTTTTAACTGGATTCTAATTATATTTTAAACTTTTAAGAACTATACAATTTCAAGTTATTATTATTAACAAGAACTTCTTGACAATGAGTAGCCTCTCTCCTGAGGAAATGAATAAAAATTAATTTCTGATAATTCTTTTGAGAGAGATCTACCTTCATATACTTCAGCTGTGTGTTTCTTGAAGGCAGGAGTGGTATTGAAAAGTAACCCACATCATTAACTCTTGTCATTCACTGCCCAGCCTCCAACCATGCCCATCAAACTGCATCTATCAACTGATTCCATGACGTCTTTCCAAGAGTTATTTCATCCAAGTGGGCATCACCCCTCATGTTTGGACCCCAGGAGAGATTTATAATTTTCTTCTTTGTATTGTAAATTACTTCATGCACTTGGGAAAACATTACAAGTGTCCTTATGCCCACTACCAAGTGCTGTCAAATCTTATTTTGCCGTATGTGTTTTTAAACACAATGAAAGCCTCCTGTAAACCTTCTCTTGTTCTCCTTCCTTCTCCAGAGCTAAACACCATCCAGACCTTGCTCCTCATCACCCCCAACATCTCTGATGTGCTATCTGTCTTTTGTTCTTTTATAGACACAGACATACCTAAAAATTTCTTTGAGCTGTCATAACAAATTACAACAAATTTGGTAGCTTAAAACAACAGATTTATTTTCTTACAGCCACAGTTCTGGAGCCTAGAACTTAGTGCTGAAGGTCTGGCTCTCTCCAAAGGCTGTGATATCAGACCCTTCTTCATCTCTCCTAATTACAGGGAGCTCCCTGTGTAACTTGGTTTGTGCTAGCATCCTGTGATGTTGCCTCTATGTTCAGGTGAGATTCTCTTTGTATGTCTTCTCTTCTAAATGCATCAGTAATATTGAATTTGGGCCCAATAATGACTTCATTATTTCCCAGTGTGGTTGTATTCTAAGTACTGGAAGTTAAGATCTCAACAAACCTTTCAGAGAGATGCAATCCAACCCAAAGCAAGATGTGTAAACAATACCTAGAAAGAATTGGATGCTTTTAAACTTACACAAATGACATCCTTTTATGCTGTTGTAACAAAATAATATGGAATAATTGATGACAGAAATTTATTTTTCACAATTCTGGAGGCTAGGAAGTCCAAAATGAAGTTTCCAGGTGGTTTTGTATCTAGTGAAGATGGTCTTCAAAGATAACCCCTTCTGTGTGTCTCATGAGGTAGGATGGATGAGAGGTCAAGCACACCTCTGAACCTCCATAGAGGTACCAGAATCTTCCATAAGGGTTCAGTCCTCCTGACCTACCATCTCCTAAGGGCCCCACCTCCTAATAACTTCACCTTGAGGGTTAAGACCAATGTTTGACATTTGAAGAGAACGTTTGTACATCCAAGCCAGAGTAAAATGATTGCCTTTTTACACAACCCAAAGATTCCAAAAGAGTTAAAAAGTAGCACACCCTTTGCCTCAGGACCTCTCACAATTAGCATGCAATTGAAAATCAGCTTCAGACATGAATGTGAAGACGAGAAAGATACAGCCAACAACGGCTTCTTCGAGCTCATCATGAGTTTTCTCTAGGTAGGTGAGTGGCCTGTGTGGAGAACAAAGGGTGGCAGACTCTCCTGAAGGGATCACAACAAGATTCCTGGAGAAAGTGTCTAAACTAAGTCCTGAAGAAGTATGAGGAATAGAATAGTACCAAGTCCAGGCAGAGCAGAGGAACTTCAGAAGAAGTGGAGAAGAGAATAAAATCTTGGAAGCAAGTCAGAAAATTCTGTATAAAGGAAGGGTGTGGCCATGCAATTCAATTAAAATATGAAACCAGTGAGCCGAGGCAGGAGAATGGACACGATTAAACCAGAAGGCTGTGTTCACTATATCAGGCATCTTGGTTTCTTTACATGTTGTTATGATAAAATAGCTTGACAAAAACAACTCAGGAGAGAAAGTGATCGTTCCAGCTCACAGTTCGGGGATACAATTCATCATGGTGAGGAAGTTCAGGCAGCAAGGGCTTGAAGCAGATGAACACACTACAGTCCCGGTCAGAAAGCAGAGAGCAATGAATGTGTGCATGCTGCTTGCTCCCTTTCTTATATAGTCCAGGAATCCTTGTCCACTTTTAGGCTGGGTCCTCCCACCTCAATTAACACAATTAAGATGATCCCTAACAGCCATGCTCAGAGGTCTATCTCCCTAGTCACTCTAGTTAAGTGGTTTTCAGACTTCCCAAAGCTGCAACCCTTTAATACAATTCCTCATGTTGTGGTGACACCCAACCATAATTATTTTCACTGTTATTTCATAACTATAATTTTGCTACTCTTATGAATCATGACATAAATGTTTTTGGAGATAATGGTTTGACAAAGGCATCATGATCCACAGGTTGAGAACCACTGGTCTAGATTGTCAGATTGATAGTTAACAGGGGTATATTTATTGGCTAAGACAAGTTGCCTACTGTTATAATAAAGTATAATAAAAGAGGCTAAAACAACAAACTTATTCTTTTATAATTTGGAGCCTGGAGATATAAAAATGAGGCATTCACAAGGTTAATTCTTCTAGAAAACCGGGGAAGAGTCAATTCCCTCTGTCTCCTAGCTTCTAGTGACTTCTAGAAAACCTGGGCAGTCCTTGGTTTGCGGACACACAATCTTGTCTCTGCCTTGTCTTCAAGTCACCTTCTCTGTGCATATCCTTTCCCTCCCCTCCTCCTTCTTTCCTCCTTTCCCTTCCTTCCCCCTTCTCCCCTCCCCGCCCCGCCACACTCCTGTCCCCTTCTCCCATCTCTCCCCCTCTCCTCTCGTTTTTCTTTTCTTGACATTTTTCATAGGACCCAAGACTTACATAATCCAGGATGCTCTCATTCAAAGATCTTTAACTAACTTGCATCCAAAAAGAGACTCTTTTATTTTGGAGGAAGTCACCACTCTACCACAGGGAGTTCAAGCGTTGACCTGCAAGCATTAGGAAGTTCTTAGGCTTTAAGAAAGAGGAGCTGTGATTATATTTCTATCATAATGACAGATCTCAGCAAATGTTGTGATAGAAAATATAGAAAGAAAGGGA